TAACACATAGGTGAAGGAGGATCAGGAATCCTTTACCCTGAGAATCCACCACTCGTCTGTCAGTTTGTTGTACTGTGGTGGCTTTTGAGTTGCTGTGATTCTGAAAGCTTTGCCACCGGTATTTTAAATACCAGCAGGGTCACCCATGGTGGACAGGTTTCAGATGAGCTTCCAGATGAAGACAGACTAGGAAGAAGGAGTGACGAACTACTTCCGAATATTCAGTCACTGAAAACCTTATGAATAGCAGAGAATCACTGTCAGATATAGTGCTGGAAAATAAGCCCCTCAGGTTGGAAGGCACTCAAAATGCAACTGGGGAAGAGCTGCCTCCTCAAAGTAGAGCTGACCATGATATAGACCTAGATGGGGAGAAATAACAACTTCACATTTTAATATTTTTGTTTTACAAAAGGTTTCTATGATTTTATAGCAACACTTTTTGTCTTATCCTTGTAATAGGTTGGGTTATGCATTCTTCTTCTCTGTCAGAGTGCATTTTTAACAGGAAACCTTTACATCTTACATATGTGGGATATCCCACTGCCAAGGAGTAACAACACACATACACCAGGCTCAATAAATGTTTTGTGAATGCATGAACCAAAAAATTTCCCCTCTGACTAAGCGATCACCTTTCACTTACTCAACAATTTTTTATGAACTGACTATACCATGCAAGGAGTACTGGTGTGGCGCTGTGGGTTAATGCACCAGCCCTGCAAAGCCATTTGAACTGCAAGGTTGGTGGTTCAAGCTCACCAGTTGCTCCTTGGAAACCCTATACAGGGTCGCTATGGGTCGGAACTGACCCAATGGCAGTTAACAACAACAGCAAGATGCAGTCTCTGGAGATGAAAAGTAACTTAGAGGTGAGGCAGTCACATGGACAGATAACATTTCAATGTATAGAGTATGTGTGCCCACACACCTGTCAGTTTTTCACACTCTGGTGGCTTGTGCGCTGCTGTGATGTTGGAAGCTATGCCACTAGTGTTTCAAATACCAGTAAGGTCACCAATGTGGTCAGGTTTCAGTGGAGCTTTCCAGGAAAAAAGAATACGTGGTCCACTTCTGAGGGATCAATCACTGACAACCAGTCAGTCTCCAACATAATGCCAGAAGATGAGTCCCTCAGGTTACAAAGCACTCAAAATACGTCTGAAGAAATGAAGCCTCTTCAAAGTAATAACTGTTGTTGTTCATGCATTCACAAAACATCACAAAACAAGTGCCATCGAGTAGGTTCCAATTCGTAGTGACCCTGTATATGGTTTCCAAGGAGCAGGTGGTGAGTCTGAATAGCCGAACTTGCAGTTCAAATGGACCTTATGGTCGAGTACTTATCCTACAGCGCCACACTGAGTTGGCCTTAATTATACAGATGGAGCAAAGTTTTCGGGACCATCATTTATTGATGGGGTACAATTCAAAAAAATGAGAAGAAACAGTTGCAACTATCCATTTACAATTGGAGTACTGAATGTGTGAAGTATGAGTCTAGGAATATTGGAGAGCCTCAAAATGGAATGGAGTGCACAAAGAAAAGACATGGCTAGTCATTACAGAGCTGACGTGGACAGGTATTGGCCATTTTAAATTGGACAATCATGTGGTTTACTCTGTAGGGAATGACAAACTCAAGAAGCATGGGATTGCATTCATTGTCAACAAGAATATTTCAAGACGTCTCTTGAATTATAATGATACCTGTGATAACATCTGTATACTTACAAGGAAGCTACTAGTACTCAAATTTAGACACCAAACATAAAAGTCAATGATGAAGAAACTGAAGAATTCTACCAACTTCTTGGGTCTGAAATCGATCAGACATGCAATCAAGATGCATTGATAATCAATAGTGATAGGAACATGAAAACTGGAAACAAAGAGGAAAATATGGCATTGGTGATAGAAGCTAATCTGGAGATCATATGATAGAATATTGCAAGATCACTGATTTAGTCACTGAAACAACATAAACTGCAACAATACATGTGGACCTTGCAAGATGGAATGCAAAGGAATCAAATTGACTACATTTGTGTGAAGAGATGATGGAGAAGTTCAAAACAAGGCCAGGCACACACTGTGAAACAGACCACCAATTGTTCAGGCTAAAGCTAAAGAAAATTAAAACAGGTCAGCAAGAGACAAAATACAACCTTGAGTATATCCCACCTGAATTTAGAGACCATTTAAAGAATAGATTTGACATCTTGAGCATTAGTGATCCAAGACCAGAGGATTTGTGAGACAGCATCAAGAACACCATACATGAAGAAAGTACAAGTTCATTAAGATAAAGAAAAGACCAAAATGGTTGTCAGAAGAAACTCTGAAACTTGCTCTTGAACCTAGAGTAACTAGCTAAAGTGAATGGAAGAAATTATGAAGTAAAAGACTAGAATATAAAAATTCAAAGGGCAGCTTGAAAAGACAAAGTATTATAATGAAATATGCAAAGACCTGGAGTTAGAAAACCAAAAGGGAAGAACTCACTCAGCTAAAAGAATTGAAGAAAATATTCAAGCCTTGACTTGCAATATTGATAGTGGCACTGTAGATGGGCATTGGACTGCTAGCCACTAGCCTTTCCCTGGAAACCCTATACAGGGTCACTATGGGTCAGAACCTACTCAACAACACTTAACAACAACAATTTTAGTCCTGGTGTGGCACTGTGGGTTAAGCACTGGACTGCAAAGTTGTTTTGAACTCCACGGTTGGTGGTTCAAGCTCACCAGCTGCTCCTTGGAAACCCTATACAAATTCGCTATGGGTCAGAACAGACTTGATGGCACTTAACAACAATAATAACTTTTATTCTGGCTGAGTGTATATAACTGAATTTGTATAAAATGAAATGCTGCATAACACGAACAACTCCATTTGCTGCTCTGCTGATTAATTATGTTTCTCTTTCCTTTTCTCTAACTTCTTCTTTCTTCTAAAAGTGTACTAATCCTGATGGGTTTTAACAGGCTTCTGGTGACTCCAACTCATGTGCCCATCCCTCTACTTCATTGGCCAGAAATGGAGCTGGTCACAGGGAGTGCCCAACTCTTCTCTCTTTTGCTGAAGGGAGAGATTATCTTCAGGATCCATTGTACTGAAGTTTTCCTTTCTACTAGATGCCTCGCCCCCTGGCTATCTGGAAGGCAAAAGGAAACCGTGATGACAATGCTTGCTCAAAGACAAAGAAACTGTAACACTTCTTTTCCACAATGAATTTGGCAACTCTACCAAGTTAAGCAACTTAGTGCTGTAGGTCACAAAATCAAGCAACTCCCTCTTATAACTAACTCTCCCTTCAGCTTCACTATTTCTATCAACACCACCATTCTTCACATCCAACTGTGGCTTTTACAGCATGTTTGACCAGTCCTTGACCTTCATTGTCCATTAAATACAAGTTATTCAAGTGCTGACCTCTCAGAATCATGGCTTGCCATTCTTTCTTTTCTACTCTTCACCCCATCCATGCTAAAGACCTCACCTGATGCCTTCTCTCATTACATCTGGGCTCCCTTGTTCCTTTCTCAACCATACATGCCACCACTAGGTTGCTGCTGTTGTTACATGCTGTTGAATCGGTTCTAATACACGGCGACCCTGATAGGGTTTCCAAGGAGCAGCTGGTGGGTTTGAACTGCAAACACTGCAGTTAGTAGACCAGTGCTGATCGTACAGCACCATACGAGGACCCCAGGTAGTTGTTGTTATTAAGTGCCACTGAGTCACTTCCAACTCATATTAAATGCTATTTTCCACTAGTTTATCCGCTGAAATAATAACTTATCACTTCTGAAACCACTGAGTCTGTGTTACTCTGTTCTAATTTGATCCTGGTCCATATTTACTCTCAGATCCTAGGAATTCTCCCTAATCTTGCTACCTCCACAGTTAAGACCTCTTCCCTCCCAGCAGCACTTAACTTCCGCTGCCATCTCAAACTCCTGGATTTAGTCTCTATTTATCCAAATCCCACCCAAGGCTCAAGCCAACCTACTCTGTAACATAAAGCTTCACCCATGACCCATTCCCACTGGCCTCTCCTGCCACACAGGTCTCTAGCTCTACACACTGTCCTCCTCTTGATTCATGTGATGACAGCCTGAAGAAGTGATGAGGAAGGGCAGCCACTTTGTAACCATGTGATGCTCCCCAAACCACCAGTCTTTCAAAACTCAAAACTGTCAATCGATTGAAAATTTATATGCAGGTGTCCTGTCCATCTCAGACTGGTCCACGTGGAATATTTCAATATTCCTCTAATACCTGCCATGTATTGGAATAATTGAAAAATGTTACAAGTCTCAGTAAACAGCAATGAAATACATGAACAGTTCTCACCGGCACTTTTCTTCACATCATCCATTAGTGAGCGGTTCAGTTAGGTCTCTGGTACAAACTTAAAGTGATTGCATAAATATGTATTAAGAGAGAAGGGAGGGAAGGTAGTTGTTCTCGGCAACTCGGGTGGAAAAAGGGATGATCAAATGGGTGGGACGTGAATATTAACTAGGGTCTGAACCAGTAGAGCGCATTGAACTGAGAAGTGTAGTTCTAGCAAGGATCTCAAGGAGTCCTGAAGCAGGCAGGGTCCACAAGGATACAAATGAAGCAGGTGGGGAGAAAACGCTTTGCACCATAAACCAGGCTCCTTTCTTTCCAAAGTCCACGCCCATCATGACAGCAAGCAGTACCAGGAGCGCGCGAAGATTCTGGCTGGCGCACAAGAAAATCGCTTCTACTCTGGTAGCGTAGTGGTTACGAAACGGGCTGCTAACCTCAAGGTCGTCAGTTCGAAACTACCAGCGGTTCCGCCAGAGAAAGAGGAGGCAGTGTGCTCCCGTAAAGATTTACAGCCTTGAAAAGCCTGTGTAGGGTCACTATGAGTCGGAACCGACTCCACGGTACTTAACAACAATAGACCTTGGCACACCTGATAATGCCAGCCCAGCCCGGCGCGCCCCTCCAGCCCCAGGCCTTACCGATGGAGATCTCTTGCGCAAAAGCCAGCGAGATAAGCAGTAAAGGCAGCCCCACCGCGATACAAGTGATCATCTTGTCCACCGCCAGCTCCAATCGCAGCCCCTTGAACTTGGGCTCCGAAGGCTCCTTCAGTAAAAAGTCGGAGAATACATACTCCGTGGCCAGGTGGGCGATGGCCATGGCTGCTCGAGTCCAAGATCAGTCAGGCAGTCCTGGGCACCGCTGGCGTCCGGAGGGTTGCACGGTGCCTTCTACACCCGTTACCGGCAGGGCCCGCGGCTTTCGCTTTCCCTTTGCCGGCTTCCCGGCTGCTCCTGCATGCTGCCCCTTTTGTGCCTAGGCGCCCCGGGGCTCCCAGTGACTCGAGCCAGAGACACAGCAGCCTCTGCTCGACGCCTCTCCGGGGCGGGGCTCCCAAGCTGCTCGCCGTGCTCTGGCTCTTGAGCTTCTAACTCAGCAGCAGGCAGGGCGCGGTCCCCGGCTGGCGCTTGCTGCGTGCGCTCCCTCCCCACCCCTTCGCTCGTCTAGCTCCCGTCTCCCGGGTAGGCGCGGCGGCGGCGACGCACAATGCCCTACGCTCGGGGCCCGGGCCTTTCAAGCATTCGCGGGCGAAAGAACAATCGGGAAATAAAGGCGCTACCCGCTTGTCCTGGCCTCGCAGTTCCGCCCAGTTTGGCGGAGAGGTTCGCAGCCTGTTCACCCGCTTTCTTCCGGAACCATCCTGGGAAATCGATTACCCAGGGGCGCGGAGTTTCCGGAAAACGCTGTGACGCGGGGCAGGGTGGGCGCGGCAGCATCCCGCGTTCCCACTGTCAGTCATTTCCACTGAGCGGCTCCTTAAAACAATTCACGTGGACCTTCCATCCCCGTTCTTTTCACTTCCTGGCACCAGGATTTACAAAAATTCATTTCTAAAAGGATCCTATACTTTTGTAGACAGGATGACCTCCTTTTACAATCCATTTCAATATTTCTGCCCTGTGAGGTCAGGACAAAAATGAACTGCAAAGGCCTCAAGGAGCAAAGGATGCCATAAAAGGTCAATAGAGCAGGTAGAGAGAGGTGTATGGAAGAGGGAGCGCTAGATTTGAAGAAGCTGTGTGTGTGCAAAGAAGGCACAGAGAGGCGGTGAGAGTGTGAGAAGGTCAAAGGTCTCGGTGAGAGTGTGAGAAGGTCAAAGGTCTCAATCAGCGTTTTTCAGCTTCCCTCTTCTACTTTCCCTGCCTTCTCAGACAGAGCCTTGGCCTAAGAGACACCGAGGGGTGTCTGTGGGTAGGTAGACTTTGAGGCTTGCTGGGAGCTGCTTCTGAACCACTTACGGGAAGTGGATGATGATAAATAGAAAATTCTTTAAAAGGCAACATTTGAGCAGACAAGAGTGCACCTTGGGGCTGTGCTGGGCTGCCTTCTCTGTTGTACAGGGGAAGGGGTTTGGTACATAGTTGCTGACATACTCTATATGCCGTCTTTTACATACGCATCTTCACTCTGATCTGTCCTCCTGGTACACATTCAACAGTTTACCCAACACTCCACTTGAATGTCTCACAAGACATAAAAATGGTAATGGCTGAACTGCAACCTTTATCTTACTATCAAACATCTACTCCAGTTCTTCCTCTTATTATTAAAAGCACTCTTTCTCACTGAGCCTGAATTCAACCCCTGAATCTGTAATATACTTGTGGGATCAGGTATATTCCAGTGGGAATCTCTGAGCCTCAATTTCCTCATTTGTCTCAGGTTGTCCTGAAGAATAAATCTGATGCGTGAAGTGCTTGGTACATCATAAACATTTTTTACTGTTTCAATATTTTACTGTGTACATTTTTCTTCATTTGTCCAAGAAATATTTCCTAAGCAACTATTACGTGTCTGTGCTATGATCTGTACTGGGAATGCAGCAGTGAGTGAGAGGTCAGGAATCCTTACTTCTTAGAAGCTTACAGTTCAGTGGAAGGGACAGACAAAATTCAAGCTGGCAGTTAAAATGATTATGTCCTGTGATAAGTGTTTAAAATAAAACCAATGGAGATAGGAAATAGCAGGCAGAAGGGCCCACATTGGACAGGGCAGTCTAGGGAACCTAATCTGAACTAGGAAAAGGTATGAGGCAAGGGATGGAGCATTACAGGCATAGAAAGATGCATGTGTAAAGATGCTGAGGTAAGAAGGAACTAGTCAGGCATTGTTGTTGTTGTTAAGAGCCCTCCAGTGGGATCTGACTCAGTGACCCTGTGTATTAGGCTGGGTTTTCTACAGAAGTAAAACATATGTGTGTGTGTGTGTGTGTGTGTGTGTGTGTGATCTTACAAATGTAGAGTCCCCGGTCCCCAGAGGAAGAGAGAGTCCCTCATCCATTATATTGGTAGCAGACCACATCCCCAAGGAAACATCCCTTCAATTGATTGACTGCTCATAGCCAATCATCATAGAGTTGACTCTCAACTGCCAAACAACTGGGAATCATGGTTCAGCCAAGTAGACACAGAACTTAACTATTGCACCCTGTGTAGGGTTTCCAAGGAGCAGCTGGTGTGTTTGAACTGTGGGCCAACTGGTTTGCAGTCCAGTGCTGATCCTACAGCATCATCCCAGGAGTCTAAAAGCTGGAGCAGAAGAGCCTGACATGAAGGTGGAGAAGTAGGTACAGACCAAATCATCCTGAGCTTTATTGACCAAAGAAAGGAGTTTGGATTTTATTCAAAGTGAAATAGAAAGACATTAAGGAGTTTCAAGCAGTGAAATGATGCAGCCAGACTTGCGTATTTAGAAGCCATTGCTGTTGCTATGTGGACACTGGCTGGAAGGAGTGACAGTGGTTAGGGGATTGCTGCAAATTTGCTTGGTAAGATTTTGTGAGTCTGAAGCTCAAAGTCAGTGTTGGAGAAACACAATTAGAATTTATTGGCATATACATGGTTTTCAGATCTATGAGGATAAGTAAGACAACCAATGGAGAAGTCTGTAACAATTTACCACAAACTCAGTGGCACACATTTATTCTTTAAAATTCTGGAGGTTAGAAGTCTGAAATCTGATTCACTAGACCAAAATCAAGATGTCAGCAGGGCCATGTTCCCTCCAGAGGGAAGAATCCATTTCCTTTCATTTTCCACCTTTTAGAACTGTGGTCTTTTCCTCCATCTCTAAAGCCAAAAGCATTTACTCGGTCACCACAATGCCTCTTCCTTCTGTAGTCAAGTCTTCCACTCCTTCTGTCTTAAAAGGACACTTGTGAGCTTTATATTTGGGACCCCAATTAATAACCCCACCACTCCTCTGTCAGTTTGTCACACAGTGATGGCTTGTGTGTTGCTGTGATGCTGGAACCTATGCCACTGGTATTTTAAATACCAGCAGGGTCACCCATGGTAGATAGGTTTCAGCTGAGCTTCCAGACTAAGACAGACAAGGAAGAAGGAGGTAGACTACTGGGAATGTAGCAGTTAGTCCCTGAAACCTTACGAAGAGCAGCAAAACATTGTCAGATATAGTGCTGGAAGATGAGTCCCTCTGGTTTGTAGGTACTCAAAGTATGACTGAGAATGAGCTGCTTTCTCAAAGTAGAGTTGACCATAATGACATGAATGGAGCAAAGCTTTGGGGACCTTCATTTGCAGATGGGGAAACAACTCAAAACAAGCAGAAATAACTGCAAACATCCATCAATAATTTGAACATAGAATGCACAAAATATGCATCTAGGAAAATTTGAAGTTGTCAAAAATGAAATGGAACTCATAAAGATCGATAGCATAGACATTAGTGAGCTGAAATTGACTGGTAATTGCCATTTTGAAACTGACAATAATATGATTTACTATGCTGGGAATAACAAATTAAATGGGAATGACACAGCATTCATCACCAAAAAGAATATTTCAAATCTATTTTGAAGTACAATGCTGTCTGTGATAGTATAATATCCATATGCCTACAAGGTAGACCAGAGTCCTAATGTGGTGCTGTAGGATAAGCACTGGACTGTTAACTGCAAGGCTGGCAGTTCAAACTCACCAGACGCTCCTCAGAAACCCTATACAGGGTCGCTATGAGTCAGAGCCAACTCAATGGCACTTAACAACAACAACAAAGAAGACCAGTTAATACCACTATTATTCAAATTTGCACACCAATCACTAAAGACAGTGTTAATAAAACTGAAGACTCTACCAACTTCTTCAGTCTGAAATTAATCAAATATGTAGTCAAGATGCATTAATAATTACTGGTGATTAGAATGTGAAAGTTAGAAACAAAAAGGATGGATCAGTAGTTGGAAAATATGGCCGTGGTGATAGAAATTGATGCTGGAGATCTTATGATAGAACTTTACAAGACCAATGACTTATTCATTGCAAATACTTTTTAGAAACAACATGAAAGGTGACTATACACATGGACCTCACAGAAGGAATACAAAGGAATCAAATTGACTACTTTTGTGGGAAGAGATGGTGAACAAGCTCAATATCATCAGTCAAAATAAGGCTAAGAGCCAACGGTGGGACAGATCATCAATTTTTCATATGCAAGTTCAGGCTGAAGCTGAAGAATATGAAAACAAGTCCACAAAAGCCAAAACATGACCTTGAGCATAACCCATCTGAATTTAGAGACCATCTCAAGAACAGATTTGATGCAACAGACACTAATGACCAAATACAAGAAGAGCTGTGGGATGACATCAAGAACATTATACAGGACGAAAGCAAAAGGTAATTAGGAAGACAAGAAAGAAAGAAAAGACCAAAATGGGTAAGAGAGTCTGAAACTTGCTCTTGAGCACAGAGATGCTAAAGTGAATGGAAGAAGCAGGAAGGTAAAGTTTCAAAAAATTTCAAAGGACAACTGAAAAAGACAAAATCGCAAAGTCCTGAAATTAGAAAACCAAAGGAAAGAACACGCTCAGCATTTCTCAAGCTGAAAGAACTTAAGAAAAAAATTCAAGCCTTCATTTGCAATATAGAAGGATTCTATGGGCAAAATATTGAATGATGCAGAAAAGCATCAAAAGATGATGGAAGGTATACAGAGTCAATATACCAAACAGAAATGATTGATGCTTACCATTTCAAGAGGTAGCATAGGATCAAGAACTGGTAGTACTAAAGGAAGAAGTCTAAGTTGCACTGAAGACATTAGCAAAATCAAAACACAAAACAAAAAAACAAGGCTCTAGGAATTGAGAGAATACAAACTGCAATCTTTCAACAAACTGATGACCCACTGGAGGTGCTCACTTATCTATGCTAAGAAATTTTGAAGACAGCTATCTGGCCAACTGATTAGAAGAGATCCATATCTGTGTCCATTCCAGAGAGAGATAACCCAAAAGAATAACGAAATCATTTAAAAATATCATTAATACCACATGCAAATAAGATTTTGTTGAATGTAATTCAAAAACAGATGCAGCAGTACATCACAGGAAACTGCCAGAAATTCAAGCTGTATTCAGAAGAGGACATAGAATGAGGGGTACCATGGCTGATATCAGATCTTGGCTGAAAGTAGAGATTGCCAGAAAGGTGTTTTCTTGTGCTTTATCGGCTATGCAAAAGCTTTCAACTATGTAGATCATTACAAGATGTGAATAACTTTATGAAGAATGGGTATTCCAGGACATTTATTTGTGCTCATGAGGAACCTGTACATTTGCAGTTGTTCAAACAAAACAAGGGATACTGAATGGTTTAAAATCAGGAAATGTGTGTGCCAGAGTTGCCTTCTTTCACCACAGTTATTCTATGTGTATGCTGAGCAAATATATGAAGAAGAACATGGCATCTGCATTGAAAGAAAACTCATTCCTTGCTTGCTGGAAAGAAAGAGGACTTAAAATACTTACTATTGAAGATCATAGACTACAGCCATCAGTATGGATTGTACCTCAATGTAAAGAAGAAAATCCTCACCATTAGACCAATAAATAACATCATGATAAATGGAGAAAAGATTGAAGTTATCAGAGTTCATTTTGCTTGGATCCACAATCAACAATTATGGAAACAGTAGTCAAGAATTCAAATGACATATTGTATTGGGCAAATCTGTTGTACAAGACCTCTTTAAAGTGTTCAAGAACAAAGATGTCATTTTGAGAACTAAGGTACACCTAAACCAAGCTATGGTATTTTTAGTTGCCTCATATGCAAATGAAAGTTGGACAATGAATAAGAAAGACTATAGAAGAATTGATACATTTGCATTTTAGTGTTAGAGGAGAATACTGAAAGTACCATAAACTGCCAAAAGAATAAACAAATCTGTGTTGGAAGAAGTACAGCCAGAATGCTCCTTAGAAGCCAGGATGGTGAGACTTGGTCTCTCATACTTCGGACATGCTATCAGGAGGACCAGTGCCTTGAGGGGGATATTATGCTTGTAAAAGTAAAGGGTCAGCAAAAAAAGGAAGACCCCCAATGAAATGGGTTAGCACAGTAACAGCAACCACGGGCTCAAACTTTACAATTATTTTGAGGATGGTGCAGGAATGGACAGTGTTTCGTTCCGTTGCGTATAGGGTCACTGTGAATCAGAACTGACTGGAGAGCGCTTAACAACAACAATATGGAAGATATGGAACGCTGGTGATGCTGTAGGATGTAAGCACTGGACTGCTAGCCACCAGGTCTGAGGTTCGAGCCCACCAGCCACTCTGCTATTGTAAAGATTTATAGCCTGGACGCTATGAGTTGGAACCGACTGGATGAAATTTAATAACAGGTTAGAAGTCACTCAAAATATGTAGCGACTGGAACAATGGATTAAAGTACACCAACAGTTGTGAAGCTGGTGTAGGACTAGGCAATGTTTGGTTCAGTTGTATGAGGTAGCCATGAAACACGAACTCAATGTCAACTAATGGCAATTAATCTGGAATGAAAGAAATAATGAAAATAGCCATTGTATCATATGTGAAACTTTATTAAATAGAGAAATGGTGTAAACTACTTTGTGGTTTTGTTTTCATTAAAAAAATAAACTAAGTGAAAAGACAAAAAAACAAAAACAAAAACTTATAACCAAACAATTTGTGGTCTTTCTAATGGTGGGTTATTAAAAGAGGAACCCTGGTAGCACAGTGGTTAAGCACTCAGCTGCTAAGGAAAGGTCAGCAGTTCGAACCAATCAACCGTTCCATAGGAGAAAGATGTGACAGTCTGCTTCCAAAAAGATTTACAGCTTTTGAAACCCTATGGGACAGTTTTACTCTGTCCTACAAGGTCATTATAAGTCAGAATCAACTTGACAGACATGGGTTTATCATAAATAAGGCATACATCATAATTATTAGTATATAACTATACAGCCTACACATGTATGAAAACTGTCTAGCACATACTATAGAATCACATTGCTAGTGGTTAGCAGGCTGGATTTCAAAATCTTTTGGGTTCCCTGTTTGATAATGACATTCAGACAAACTACGGACAGAACTAATGGCATCTACATACAGTTTTGTATAAGGCAGTAGCTTCTATAAAATTACCCTTTTCCCCTCACCAAGATGAAAATGAGAAAGTGTAAAAGGTCCCTCCACCAGGGTATTTCTTAGGTTCTACCCATTCACCTGGACATTCAAAGAGTCTATTGCAAAGGCAGATGTACTAAAATCACTTATCTGCCATCGCAGGGGATTTCTTGTCTAGTAATAAACAATGTTGCTTTTATCTATCTTACACCTAAGCTTTAGGCATGCTGTATAGAGAATGTGAATTGCCTGGTCAGGTTGAGTTTAACTGTTCAATATTTTATTCTTGCTTTTGATTCTTGAAAACTTTAATACTTATCTTCAAAGCTGACTTCCTAGTTGAAATAATTGCCTGCCACGCAAGCATCGCTTTTTTTTGAGCCATCCCCTTCTCCATATGCCTTCCCTCTTCTTTCTTCCCTTTAATAAAGGGTGGTGTCTTCCAGAAAGAAGCATGAAATCTAGGATTTTATGAGCTCTCTTCTCCCCTTAGTCCACTGATGATCCCTCCCAGTGTTTCTCATCTGATGATACTGTTTTTCTTTTGTTGGAGATGGAAACTTGGAAAGATTCACCTAACAGAATGAAAACCCAGACTCAGGAGTCAAGCCTGAACTCTCTTTCTGCAAAGCTTCCCTTTTCTTTAGAAGTTCCCACTAATGTTTGAGAACTCCTTGGCTCTCAGTGGGAGAAACAAGCCTTCTAATTCACAAATTTCAACACTCCCTGATTCTGAAATAGAAATACAAATTCTCCATTCGATTGTTGAAAATTCAGACATTGTTACAAAAACATCATAAAAACAAATAACATGAAGTGAGTTGTAAACATTTCAAGTATCACTATAGGTATGCATAAAAACAGCAGCAATTTAAAAAAAAATGCTTTAACAATTTTTAAAAATACCTTTTGTAACAGTGTATAGGCTATTGATATAAAAGTGGGAAAGGCCAGTAGAGTGGGTTAAAGAATCCAAATATTCATTTAGCCAAATTCTATGAGCAAATACTGACGTAGACATTTACATGAACCCCTTAGAAAGCTTTTTCTGCCCCACCCCCGACCAGAACAACAGTGGGAATCAGCTTCTATTCTGTGTTAAGAAATCAGGGTGCTTCAAGTTAGATGGCTGAGGTACTATAACTTTCTAGAAGTTATCCATCTGGAAACTTTGACGGTTAGCAAAGGAAACAATGCCTAATCTAAGGATTATGAAAAATGCAAATAAAGGTATCTTTCAGAGAGTCCCTCCACTTCAGTGAACTCATTCAGAGACTAGACTAAGAGTCAGCGTTTCTCAGTCATGCCAATTTCTATTTTTCTGTATTTTATACCTGAGAATTCTTCACAGCCCATTTTCAGAAATAAATAAAAGCAAATTGCTTTGGATTATGTTCCAGAGGATCAGATGGCTGACCCTGGATACAGTGTCAACCTTCCTTGATGAACATTGCCATGGTCCAATTTCCCTGTCGGCTGCCATCGGCCATCCAGCTGTGGAACCTCACCCGTTCCGGTCTGAGGAAGGCTAGGCGATTCACAGAGCATCCGTGGGGAGAGCACAGGATTGGACGACCTGGTATGCCATCTGCTTCCGCACAGAGCGGAGTCTGAGGGAGAGAACCAGCGTGGATATCACAAGGGCCAGTCCGATGAGAAAAAGGATGACCAAGGCTGCTTTGGCTCCTCTGGGACCCAGATTCTTGCCAAAAAAATAGACCTCCTCCTTACCAGGTTCTTCTGTGAAAAAGAAAAGCAAGTTTGGGGTGATGAAAAGATCTATGAAAGGCTTGTTGCTTGTTTAAGTGTTATCGAGTTGGTTCTGACTCACAGTGACCCTGTAGAGGGTTTCTGAGGAGCAGCTGGTGGGTTTGAACCACAAACCTTGAGGTTAACAATCCAGCGCTTATTCTATTGTGCCACACCAAGACTCCAAAAGAGATAGAAATGGATTGCGGTAATCAATATCATTAAACTGTACACTTAAAGTGGTTAAAATAGCAAATACTTTGTTATATACGAAGGGATGTTGAAAAATTTGTGGAAAAATCCATTCTTTTCATTCTGTTTTTCCACAAACATTTTGAGGCCCCCTCGTATATTTACCACAGTAAAATTGTTCATAGAAAACTGAGGTGTCCTCCTCTGCCTCTCCCGGAGGAATGAAATGTTTCGGCATTTACATTCAGCATAGAGAAGAGGGTTATCATTACCATCAGAGGGCCCAGGGACAGGGACGGGATGAGCTTCTTCTTCTTCAGAAGGAGACCTGGTAGAGTAAGGAACCCTGTTGTCTGAACACAGAAGATAAATTGATTGTTAATAAACCAGCAGAAGACATTATTTTTATGATGTAAGTTATTTCAGTTCTTTTTGATCAGTGAGGTCTGAATCCCACCAGTCATTTCTTGGATTCTCATTATTTTGCTTCCTGCCAGTACATATGTTGTTCCTACCCCACCCACCTTCCAAGCTTCTGCTCATCTATTAAGATCCAGTTCAAGCCTCATGGCCTCTATGAAGGCAAGGTCTCATACCCGTCAACTGTTAGCCCTTTCCTCCCACTGCTTCCCCTGAAGCCTGCACTCTGTACTCTAGAATGACACAGGTCGTTCTATTGTGGTTCCATATTGACACATGTATCTCCTTCACTGAGCTCTTGGGGGCTGTATGTGGGCTTTTTTCAGGCCTCCTTTTTCAGGGTTTACGGGAAGCCTGACACTATCACTCAACATGACATACAGACAACAATACCTATGTTGCGGAGGACCGTGTAGGTGGTCTCCATCCCAGCATGGATATGGTCAGACACATGACAGTGTAGCAGCCATGTCCCTGGGTGATCTGCATACAGTTCGATGGTTTGGAATGTCCCAGGGAAAAGATCATACACATCTTCTCGGTAAGACTTATCTATCTGCAGAAAACAAAAAGTGCAGACTGGGATTTCCTTTGCTCAGTCACAAAAGAAGAAAAAAAGGAACAAAATGAACCCACATTAAGTAGAAGGAGCAGTTCCTGGATGGTTCAAATGGTTAATGTACTCAGGTGCTAACCAGAAGATTAGAAGTTTGGATCCACCCAGATGTGCCTCAAAACAAAGGCATGCAATTTACTTTTGAAACGTCAGTACATAATGTTTTGGGTGATGTCAAAGTAGCATTCTAATAAGGAAAGTGGTACCCCAAATAGTTCTATAATAAAATGGAAATTGTTCATGCAAGAGCAAATGACTAGGAGAATGTGGAAAGGCACCCACCATATCCATAAGCAGGTAGCTTTTTTTCTTGTCGGTCCTACCCTGGAACCACCTGAGAAGCTACCAGAGCCCATTGCCACATGGACGATGCCCTATGAACAACTTTCTGCTGAGCAGCAAAAGGCTGTTTGGTTCACAGATGGCAGTTCCAGGGAACATGGACAATATTTGATGGGGAAAACTGCTGTATTAAGAACAGTAGGTAGAAAGATCCTGGTTGAAGAAGGTAAGAACAGCATACATTTGGGTTTTTAACCAATTCATGGGCAGTGGCCAGCAGCCTAGCTCTATTGTCAGGTAAATGGGCAATGAAATATATTAGACTGTTAATGAGATGCATAAGGAGCTCTGGTGTAGTGGTTACAAATCAGGTTGCTAATCTCAAGGTCAGCAGTTCCAAACTACCAGCAGTTCTGCAGGGGAAAGATGAGGCTTTCTGCTCTTGTAAAGATTTACAGCTTCCTATGCAGGGTCGCTATGAGTCAGAACAAACTCCATGGCACACCACTACCACCAGTAGGATACTTATGGGGCGTGAACCTATAGAATGCCCTGTGGGACTCCACAGGGGATGTTAGAATAGGACATGGTGATACCCATTAGAAGAACCCCCTCCTTGGATAAGTAGATGATTGGAATCAGCAAATGAACCTGTTTGTACACCAATTGGGCCCATAAAATGAGCAGACCTAAATGCATTGCAGTAGTACAGAGGTGGGCTGAATCTAGAAACATCTGTCTTGACCCTCTGAGAAACAAAATGCTGATAAAGACGTCTCTGTCTGCCAGTAAGAACAACAGAGGTAGCAGATGGCAGATTCTCTGTGAGGCAGATTCTCCAGGGGAGATGCCCTGCACATAGGTGGCAAGTTGATTTATTGAACCAACTATGCCAGTGGCACCAGGTGGCTACAAATAGGTCCTCACAAGAATAGATACTTACTCTGGATTGGGCTTTGATTGTCTAGCTATAGATGCAAATGCTAAAAACACCATCAGTGAATTGGTACAAAAGATACTGTAGCAATTTGGGCCATCCAGTTATATTTCATCAAACCCAGGAATACACTTTACAGCTCACAGACTGTAGCAATGAGCCAAGAAACATCATATTAAGTGGACATATCATGTTGAATATCATCTCAGAGTAATGGTTGGATAAGAATTGGAATGAACTATCAAAATATGTTATCTAAAACGGGGTGAAAAAAGATAAAGACATGAAGGGTTGGCTCATATGCTTTCATGAGTGTGTGATCACACTCAATTGGAGCAAAGTAGGGGTGACCACTGGTCAGATTCCTATGCTTTTCTGGGAAACTCAGGAAGAGGTTGTAGGAGAGGATGCTGGCATTCCTGTAGAGTTCTCCCCCACATCACCTAAACTTGCTTTTTTTCCTGCTAGATGCTGCAGTCTCTGGACCATTGATATACCCACTTCTGGACCAATGTGGGTACCAGAAGCAGGGGAGACCCTAAGCAAGAGATTATATGTCTTGAACCTGTACATAAGAATTCCCACAGACCTGATGGGATATATTGTGCCTACCCTCCCATCTGGTAAAATTGGGGTTGACAGGGAATACTGCTAAACTGCCTACTAGTCAAGATAGCCCACTCATGTATGTAGCCTTAACCAGCATGAATGGAAGTGAGTCTGGTTACCAAAAGGTTTATGAAATTTATTGAGTTCTTCAAAGAACCAACTTTTGGTTTCATTGATTTCTCTCTGTTGTGTTTGGACTTGCAATTATGCTGATTTCTGCTGTTTTCTCTATTTCCTTCTTTCTGTTTTAAAATCCAATTGACACCAAGTCAATTTCAACTCATGGCAACCCCATATGTGTTAAAATAGAAGTATGCACCAAAGGGTTTTCAATGATTGTATGAATAATTTGTTTTAGAAGGATCAGCATAAAACTAGCTAGTTCCTACGTCACAAATGTCCAACTTTTCTTAACTGCTACACCACTTCATCATCTTCAACATCAACAATTCCTTCTCCCCTCAGTACTCTTCCTCTAATTCTTTGGTTCTGTAATTCACTGCAACATGTCACAGAACTCATGAACTGTCAAGAAAATGGCTCACATAGTTAGAGAGGCTGGCAAATTGCAAATCTGTGAGTCAGACTTCTATCTCAGGCAGTTGCAGGGGCTGATTAAAGACTAACCCAAATGGGCAGGCAAGACAACAGACTGCTAACTCAAGTTCCAGGAACCAGAGGTCAGATTAGGATCCAGGCCAGATGCAGGATCCAGGGCAAGAGAAAAAACTTCGCCATAGCATTCATACATATTGGACACAGACCGTACCCTCAAGAAAACTCCCAAAACTTGAGCAGGATGGTACAAAGGTCTGAAAAATGGTGACTAGAGTAAAGGTGTGACTCTTATAGGAGTGCCTCAAGATGTTTCCCATCACAATCCTGTCTCAATAACGTAACAGACAACTCACTCCCAAATGGAACCAAAAGCACAGGAATAGAGGCACATCACAAAATGGAGATAATTATATAACTGTCAAATAACACAACTTGCAAATCACTTAAAATCATGGTCAAGTCAAGTTGACACATCATCTTAACTATCACAGGCTCCATATACCTTACTGCATTAGAAGCAAGCTTTCCAATCCCTTTGGTGAACCACAGCATGTTATTTGCATAATTTCACCCAATCATTATGTTGGAGTAGCAAAGACTATGACTAGAAGGTCCATATTAAGTAATTCACTGTATCACAGGCCACCCCCTGGCTCTTCTAGACATTGATCCTTTCATACTTGCAAGATTAACTTCCCCTTTTTAGTCATTTTGCCAATCCAAAACAGTTGTTCAATAGGGCAAAAGAGTTCCTGGGTGAGGTTACTCAGGTACGAGACATTCAGGTCTATTACAAGTATCCATATGATCTGCTCAGGTTCTCAGCAGTTGTCTTGGCTTCACTCTCTCTGGCCTCTGACAAAATTTAACTAAGAGATTATTTCTTTGTTCTATGTCTCCCTCAAGATAGTAGCATAATGTTAGGTTTCTTTCACTGCATAATCCATTCCTTTACCTTTAACTATGGTTTCTCCTTCCTTTCATTTATCATTTATTTTACCCAACTTTTTCCATTTTGGGAAACCCCAGCTGCTAGGCCAGTCCAGCTTGCTGGTAGCAAGATTAGTCTAGCAAGTGTTTTCCCTTCATGATCACTGTATCCTGGTATTCTTAATCTTTGTAGTCCCCTCCCTATTATATGACATTGACCTATATGGCCAATAGCATATGGTGGAAGAAGTGGCATGCCACTTCTAAGATTATGTTATAAAAGCCTATGACTTCTGTCTTAGGCCCCCTCTCTCTATATTTGGGTTACTCTGTTGATATCGACATGGCAAGGAAATGAAGCCTCCAGTCAGTAGCCACGAGTGTGTTTGTAAGCAGATCCTCTAGTTAAATCTCTGGTAGCTGCAGCTTTGTCTGACATGTCTTCATCACAGCTTCATGAGAAACTGAATCAGAACCACCCAGCTACTGCCAGAATCCTGACCCAGAGAAACTGTGAGATAATAATGTTTGATATTTTAGTTCACTACTGTTTTTCAATAGCCTCATATGCATGCGAAAGTTGGACAGTGAATAAGGAAAACCGTAGAAGAATTGATCCATTTGAGTTATGGTGTTGGAAAAGAATATTGAAAGTACCAAAGACTCCCAATGAACAAACATATTGGATATAATTATGTAATTTGACATAATTATATCTAATATGATCTGTGTTGGAAGAAGTACAGCCATAGAATGCTCCTTGGAAGCCAGGACACCCAGATGTCATCTCTCATAATTTGGATATATTATCAAGAGGAACCAGTCCCTTGAGAAGGATATCATGTTTGGTAAAGTGGAGTTCGAAGAAAAAGAGGAAGACCCCCAACGAGATGGTCTGGCACAGTGGTAGCCGCAGTGGGCTCAAGCGTAGCAACAATTGTGAGGATGGTGCAGGACAGGCAGTGCATAGGGTCACTATGAGTCGGTACCGACTTGATGGCACCTAATGACAACAACTCTTTTTAGATTTTTAACACACTTTTAAAAATATTGTTTGAAAAACCCAAATTCTGAAAACAACATGTCACCATCATAGGCTCACACTTGGTGTCCTAAACTGATAATAGAATAAATATACAGAGGGAAGAGATTATTAGCGGTTTTATGAGAGTTGCTATTTATTCCTGTATATTTAGAGAAGGATCAGCTCCGGTTTCCCCCACAGATTAGATATGATTATTCTTTGCTATTTTACTTCCTTGCAGATGGCACTGAGAACTTGAGTAGACAGATGATCTGGACCTTACTCCTGGAGATTCTCATACAGCAGGTCTAGGGAGGGGCCTGGCAGTCTGTTTGATCATTTGTTCTTTGGGTGACTCTGCTGTACAACTGGCACCACCCATATAGTTCAGTTTGATGCTGGAGAGGCAGAAGGTCACACATGGTCCAGCCCAGATTACTAGGACAAATGTCACGATAAGGTTTGGGGGACCAACTCAGAGCTAAAAATATCTGCTTTATTGGATACGCTATTCTGTTAGTTGAGCACACAGAGAAGGGGGAAAGAAAAGAAATAGAAAGCATCAGGAAGAGGAACCAAATATGATTGGTGCTTTCCCAAAGCATTGAATTTCTGTTTATGATAATGGGGAAATTTAGCAATGGATGTTAGTGAGGGTTGTACAACATGATTGATGCAGTTAACAAATTGCACATGTGAAAAATATTGAACTGGCAAATGTATTATCTATATTTTATAACAATAAACAAAGAAAAAGCTCCCAATACTCTGAGTGCTTTCATATACAATATTAACAGCATAATCCAAGGTGATAAGAACACCATTACCAGAGGGGTAAGTCCCATAGAACTGACATAAAAACTCTCATCTGAAGATCAGAGAGTTTTTACAAGCATAATAAAATACATACAAAGGAACTTTAAAGAACGCTTGGACAAATTCCATTATCTTGTTAATCCCATTTTTCCACGAACTTTTTGAAGCCTCCTTGTATACATATTGAGAAATATCTACCATGGGAAGGGTATAATTACATCATTTTGTTCCATTCTCTAATATGAATCACCACCTCTTACAAGCACTATAGCTAAGTAACACTCGTATATTGATGTTTATTGTTATTAAGTGCCATGGAGTCAGTTCTGACTCATAGCAACCCTGTATAGGGTCTCCAAGGAGTGGCTTATGGGTATGAACCACTGACCTTGTGGTTATCAGTCCAGTATTTATCCTACAGCACCACAGCAAGATGTCTTCACATCATTTATGGAAAAATTCCATTATCTTTTTATCCCATTTTTCCATGAACTTTTGAAGTCCCCTTTTATTTCATGGTGGAATGGCACTGAATTGACTAGTTTAAAAAAATCTCCTTCTACACATTTTCTTTATACTTACTTTGAAAAGAAAGCTCTCAGCATGATAATGGATGGTATGTATGTCCACTTCACTGCCAAGTCCTAACAAATACCAGTTTGTCATTGTATCTTCATACATTATGAGCCCATGGAGATTCCCAAAAATCTTCCCATTTATAGCTAGGAAGATTACAAAAAATAGCCTTTGATTAGTGAGGAGACACACATATTGCTAAATTGGGTTCTAGAAATGATTCAAGACCTTTAGGTGATCAATATTTTCATTAGCCTGGGAAACGTGTAACAATATATACGAATGTCCCACAGTTTTAAGGCCCCAAATTCAGATTACTGTACACAGAGAACCAGAAAAAATAAATGGTAGTTTATTTTGTAAGTGACTAATTTTGCTTGTTGATTCAGCAACAATAAAATCTATCACACTAGGAAATGGATCACAAATTCATTTGTGAGGTTGGCAGATTTGGTGTGGCGCTATAGGATAATGCGCTGAACTGCAAGGTCAGTTTGAGCCACAAGGTCAGCGGTTCTTAACTTGGCGACACTTAAAAATAACAAACCACAAGGTTGGCAGTGAGACTTTCAAAAATTAGACTTTCTATTCCCGTAGAGATTTACAGCCTCTGAAACCCAATATAGGGTCGTTATGAGTCATATTTAGCTCAATGGTAGTGAGTTTGAATGTTTTTTTAGTTTACAGATGAGCAGAGTAAGATACAAAAAAATCAAATTTCTATAAATTAAAACAGAATGAGTTAGAAACTCTATCCTTAATAGCTGGCTTTCTGAGTATGAGTTTGGAGCAAAAGGAACCCTGGTGGCACAATGTTTAAGTGCTCAACTGTTAACTAAAGGTAGCTAGCTGTTTCAAACCCACAAGTGGCTCTGTGGAGAAAAGACTGCACATTCTGCTCCTGTAGAAATTGTTGTTGTTAAGTGCCATTGAATCAGTTCCTACTCATAACAACCTGTATAGGGTTGCCAAGGAGTGGCTGGTGGGTTTGAACTACCAACATTTCAGTTAGTAGCCCAGTGCTTATCCTACATCACCACACCAGGACAACCTGGAAAATCATATGGGACTGTTCTTCTCTGACTTATATAGTCACTATGTGTTGGAATTGACTTGATGGCACACAACAAGCAATTTGGAGAAAATACCTAAACTTGACTGAATCTTTAAAAGAAAAGCTTAATTTAGATTGAGCCCGTTAACCTAACAATGATCAAATCAAGGGTGAGTTTATGTGGTGGCAACTCCCAGGCTTCCTTTTTCTATTGGCTTTTTATTCTGTGTGTTATGTACCGTGGTCTTAGGGGACACCAAGGTCAACTGGCGTAACATAGTCTAAAAAGACAACAATCTACATTCTGCTTTGGTGAGTAGCGTCTGGGATCTTAAAAGCTCATGAGCAGCCTTCTAAGGTGCAACTCTTTGTCTCTCCAAGTGTGGAAGAAAGAAGAGTGTTGAAAATTGCAGATGCTTGGAATCAACTAGTCCAATGGACCAATAGAGCAGGTGAACATCAGTCACCATCACTCTGAGACCTGAAGAATTAGATAGTGCCTGGTTACCACTCCCAACTTCTCTGGAAGGGATCATATTAGAAGGTCCTGAACAGAATGGGAGAAAATGTGGAATAAAACTCAAAATTATTAAAAAAAAAACAAAAACAAAACCATACTTTCTGCACAAAGAGTGACTGGAGGAACCCAAGACTATGGCCCTCAGTCACTCTTTAGGTCAGGAATGGAAAACAACCTCATAACTGAATTTTCAGTCACACAGTAGACAGGTATGGTGGAGACAACAACACTAGTAAGGTATGATCACAAGGGATACTTTACCTAAGGACACAGTTAAGAAGGCATTGGAGGGAGGATCGAATGGCGATAAGAACCACAGAGAAGTGGGGTAACTATTGTTGCATTGAGATGAAACAACATGTATGATTTGTTGAATGTAAAAACTGATGATCTTCTCTGCAAACATCCATTCAATTCACAATAAAAATTTTAAATGAAAAAAGGTCTTGTGGGAGAGTATGGCTGTGCCAATTTGAACACGGGGCTTCCTAGGCTGTAATATTAATGGAAGCAGATAACCAATAAAATTATTTTATTCCTTGGAGCCCCTGGTGGGTTCAAACTGCCAATCTTTCAGCTAGCAGTCAAGTAATTTAAACATTGTACCACTAGGGCTTCTTACAGGGATTTTGTTGTTGTTGTTATTAAGTGCTGTTGAGCTATTTTCAACTCAAAGCAACCCTGTATATGGGAATTTCTAAGGAGAAGCTGGTGAGTTTGAGCTGCTGACCTGGTAGTTCTAACTGACATTCCAGTCCAGTGCTTATCCTATAGCACCACACCAGGGATGTTGTTGTTGAGTGCCCTCGAGTTGGTTTCGACTCATAGTGAACCTGTGTAGGGTTTCCAAGGAGCAGCTGGTGAGCTTGCACCACTGACCTTGCAGTTCAAACCAACTTAGAAGTTCGGCATTAATGCACAGTGCCATACCAGACTCCATAACCAGGAATGGTGGTAGTGGTGATGTGCCATGGAGTCATCTGCATGGGGTTTCTGAGGCTGTAAATCTTTACCGGAATAGAAAGCCTCGTCTTTTCCCCATGGAACAGCTGGTAGTTTCAAACTGCTGACCTTGCGGTTAGCAGCCTGACTTGTAACCACTAAGCTACCAGAGCTATTCCCTAAGGCAGTTAGACCAAACCTTAAGGATCTCACTGCCAGTCAAACATGGAGCAGGCTCCCTCACTCTGAAGGAGAACTTTACAGGATTATCTTCTGACCAAGAGCCACTGGGTATGAGGAAAAGCTAAGAAAAGGAAGCAGGGGACTTCTCACAATTCTAGGATTTGTATGTGTGTAACCCAATAACAGTCTTCTTTTTAAACTCTTGACATACCGTGCATTTTGTTGCTCTCCTCAAAATCATCAGTGTACTTAATATCTCGTGGATCTTTATTGAGATATTTCTTAATATTATCATCCAGATACCAGGATTCATTCTCATTAAATACCAAAAACAAGAGAGCAAATTCATAGTCAACATCACTTCTTCTTCCCTTGTCATTCAATACTCCTTCTCTACATGTAATCAGAGGACCCATCAAACCACTGTATGTATCCTGAAAGAAAAATAAATGGAATTAGAAGAGCCTTCAAGTAAGTTAATAACATAGATCAAGTGTTTAATATGATTGTCATTGTAAAAAGACTATTTGCCATGAAAATAAGTATAAGGAAACCCTGAAGAATCAAGGTGATCTTCATGAATATTTAGGAGAGTATCTGAAAATTACTACAAGGTAAGCTTCGAGGGCTGAGTTCTGCTGAATTTTCCTTCCACTCCCTTCCTCCCTTCATAATGCCTCATCATTCTGTGATTTCCTTTCCATACCCTCTGCCATGAGTCTAGGCCTCGCTCTGGATTAGAAATCAACTCCTCATTGATCTCTGACTCACCCCACTGAATAAAGTATAATCCTTAAATCCCTCCATATGCTCCCCAATGAACTTTTCTAGCTTTAGTTCTCCCAACGCTCTCATTTTGTACCCTACAGGACAGCTAAATAGACTCTCAACATTTCCCAAATACAGTTTACACTTTCTTATCATCCTCTTTGCTCATAATGCTCTCCCTAAACTCTTTCCAATGCCTCCTATCGTATCCCGGAAGTACACCATATTCATGGTACTCAGACACAGAGCTGTATTATATTTCTAATGTTTGTTGTTATTGTTAAGTGCCATCAAGTGGGTTCCAACTCATAGCTTGGACATACATTATTTTCCACTCAAAGTTATAAGTTCCTTTGGTTGTCTGAATGGTTATATATTCCTGAGTGCTTGGGTGTAAATAAAAAAACAAAAAAGAGGGAATGGAAGCAAATGCTGTTGAATGATGATGCATGGAAGAGATTGTAATCATTGCAATGAAACGAAATACCATAATAAAAACTTTAAAAAAAAAGTTATAAGTTCCTTTAAGACAGGAATAGTGCAATTCCCACAGTACTTGCCAGAGGCCTTTGTACATACCAAGTGTGCAATAAATATTTGCTGGGACACATGAAAAAATAAATATGGGTTTCCCATAACTCCAGTATGTAAAGTTTTTAAGTTTGTTTCTAAAAGTGTTCTTATATGTCTAATTCCTGAATTCTAACACTATCTGGTTCAAATCAAGGACTTTAATGAAAGTTGTCTATTTATTTAAAATAAGATAATCCTTCACTTTTTTTTTTTTTCTAATGAGCAATACTTACATTTTATATCAGATAAGACTTTAGTTTGGACTTTGGATTATGATGTGTAATTAAAGACTGTATTTATTTTACATGCACATATGTGACTCATCATATTCAGTACTGAATCTTTGCCTAAGTGACGTTAGACTATTAATCATTTAAATAGCTTTGTAAATCTGACTACTATAGTTGGAATGTGCTTTCTTTCCCTATGCCCTGGTAACATTGGTTGTTGTTTTTGTTAAGTGCCGTCGAGTCGGTTCCAACTCATAGGGTTTCCGAGGAGCAGCTGGTGAGTTTGAACTGTCAACCTTATAGTTCAAACTGACCTTGTGGCCAACTTCTTATCCTACAGTGCCACACCAGGACTCAGTAATATCTTTACAATTGTTAGACTTCACATGTTCATAACCATGGTGTAAATTATGTTCAAAGATATATTTATTTTCTTATTTATTTACATACTCTCTTTGACTTCAAATTACCTTATACATTCTAAATTTAGTAATAGAAACCTGGGAGATTTGTTCTCCCCTTCTACTCCCCCAACCCCCATAGTTTAAATTAGAATCAGTAAACTTTTTTCCAGAAAAGGGCAAAATAGTAAATACTTCTGACTTTGCAACTATTCAACTCAACCACTGATAATATAAATGAATGGGCAGGGTTAGATTGGGCTGGGGAGTCATGGTTGAAATCACTGTTTTAAGTCCTTGCTGTTCTGTGCTATCAAGTTCACTCTGACTCATAGTGATCCTATACACAACAGAAAACACTGTTCAGTACAGCACCATCTTCACAATTGTTATATTTAAGCCCATTGTTATATCACTGGGTCAGTCCATCTAGGGGGACGGTCTTTCTGTTTTTCTCTGACCCTATATTTTACCAAGCATAACACCCTCTTCCAGGGATTGGTCACACTTGACAACATGTCCAAAGTACATGAAATGAAGTCTCACCATCCTTACTTCTAAGGGACATTCTGACTGCACTCCTTTTAACACAGATTTGTTTGTTCTTCTGACAGTCCATGGTACTTTCAATATTCTTTGCTAAGATCATAATTCAAATGAATCATTTCCATCTCCGTCTTTCTTATTCATTGTCCAGTTTTTACATGCATATGAGGTGATTAAGTATATCAAGGCTTGGCCAAGCACACCTTACTCCTCAAAGTGACATCTTTGCTCTTTAACATTTCAGAGAGGTCTTTTGCAGCAGATTTGCTCAATGCAATACATCATTCAATTTCTTGCCTGCTACTTCTATGAACATTGATTGTGGAGTCAAGTACAATGAAATCCTTGGCAACTTCAATCCTTGCTCAATTTGTGATGATATTACTTATTAGTGCAGTTGTGAGGATATTTGTTTTCTATCCATTGAGTTGTAACCCATACTAAGGTGTCTGATCTTCAGCAACAAGTCCTCTTCAATCTCAGCAAGATTATGTTGTCATCTACATATGATGGTAGTGGAGTCAGTACCAACTCTTAGAGACCCTGTATGGGGTTTCTGAGGCTGTAAATCTTTATGGGAACAGACAGTCTCATCTTTTTCTCACGGATTGGCCTTGTGGTTAGCAGCCCATTTCATAATCCACTGTGCTACCAGGGCTGCTTTCATCTACATATTTGTTGTTGTCTGTTTAAGGTTTCTGAGGAGCGACTATTGAGTTTGAACTGCCGACCTTGTAGTTCAAACCAGGACTCCTTCATATATATAAACTGTTGTTAAGTGCCATTGAGTTGATCCCGACCCATAGCAATCCTGTACAGGGTTTCTGAGGAGCCACTGGTAGATTTGAACTGCTGACCTTGTGGTTTTCAGTCCAGTGTTGATCCTTCAGTGCCACACCAGAAGTCCTCATCTATATATATCAGGTTGTTGATGAATCTTCCTCCAATCCTGATGCCACATTCTTCTTCTTATAATCCAGTTTCTCAGATTACTTGTTCAGCATGCAGATTGAATAAATAAGGTGAAAGGATGAAACAAATCCTGACATACTCCTTTTCTGACTTTAAACCATGTAATACTCCTTGTTCTGTTGGACTGCTTTTGTGTCAATGTACAGATCTTCATGAGCACAATTAAATGTGTTGAAATTCCCATTCTTCACAATATTATTCATAGTTGGTTATGGTTCACACAGTTAAATGTCTTTACTTAGTCAATTAAATGCAAGCAAACATTCTTCTGGCATGCTGGTGAGGTGCTGTGGGTTAACGTGCTGGACTGTAAGTTCGATTTGAACTGTAAGACTGGCAGTTCGAGTTTATCAGCCACTCCTTGGAAACCCTCTGCAGTTGGATGTATGAGTTGGAACTGACTTGACAGAACTTAACTTAAAACGTTTTTCTGTTATTTTCTACTTATAGTCAAGATCCAGCTGATATCAGCAATGCTATATCTCTTTCTGTGTTTTCTAAATCTGGCTTGCGTTGGGAGAAAAGATGAGGCTTTCTGCTCCCATAAAGATGTACTACTTCAGAAAATCTATACAGGGTCGCTGTGCGCCTGAACCAACTTGATGGTAAACCACCACAATCACCACCTGTCAATGTACTGCTACGACCATTTTCGAATTATCTTCAGCAAAATTTTACTTGCATGTGATATTAATAAGATTGTTTGATCATTTAAATCATTTGTTGTTGCTAAGTTCCATGGAATTGATTCCAACTCATAGCAACCCTTTATAGGGTTTCCAAGGAGCTACTGGTGGGTTTGAAGCACTGACTTTGTGGTTCACCGTCCAGTGCTGATTCTACAGCCCCACACCAGGAGTCTTGTAAATCATTACACACCTTTATACATTCCCACCCAAATTGTGATGAGTTGACTAGTCAGCTTAAAGCCATATTATTTTAAGCATTTTGATTGATCATCCATCTTACCTTCACAAAGTTTACTGTCGAATAGTAAACCCATGGAATGCAATTTGGGTCTGAGGGCCCAGGGCCTGACCTTTTAGGGATATTCCATCGGTAAGTTTTTACTTCTCCTGAAATAAAAATGAGAGAACACAAAAAGGATTTACTAGTGTTACTTCTGTTCCAGATGATTTACCTGGAAAAGTACAAAGTGGTCTTTGTATACTGTGGTCAATGATTATTGCTAGTGAGAATTACCCATTCATTAGAAAAGTCCCCATTAAACACGTCTTGATTTCATACAAAATGGCAAATTTTTCATTTCAGATTTCATCTTTCCTGTTGCTAAGTGCCACTGAGTTGATTTCCACTTAGAGCAACCCCATGTGACAGAGTAGAACTGTCCCACAGGGGTTTCTAAGCTGTAGTCATTAGAGAAGCAGATGGCCAACTCTTCCTTCCATGGTTTGCTATTTTTTATTATCAACTGATGTGTACTCAGAAATGAGGCCTTATTTTATCTCTCTCTGTTTTCTCCTCAAATTTCATTTCTTCCTCTCCAGAGCTATCCTTGAGCACCTAGGTTTTAATCACCATGCCCTCTCAACCGTGGCTTCTTAACGGAATCATTAGGGGAGTATTGCAAACTCTCACTAGTTTCTTCTTCTTCTTTCTGCAACCATGGCAGAAAATCTTACAAGCATAAAACATATTAAGTACAATCGAATGTCACCCTAATTGCCTCTCAAAAGATAAAACCATTATTAATCTTTTGACTTAATTTACTTTCTAGCCTTTTTTATTCTGTACTTGTATTTTGTTTACATTGATACTATGTTTTTTTCCTCTCATAAAAGTTTTCTTAAATATCAGTTAGTGGCTGGATAATATTCCACTGTAAGGATATTCCAAAATTTACTTGACACTTTCCCTATAGATGATCATGTAGGATATTCATGGGAGTTTTCTTGAAACAGCATAGGTTTCTAATATGGGGACAAAGGATAATGGGAGAAGTTGAAATCAGTTCAATAAAGATTTTCCTTCCCCTGCATCTTCCTTTATGCAAGTATCTTGTTATGTTTTCTATTGATGCATTAGACTATTTTCTTCTTTTCCTATGATGCATCTGTATACATTTTTAAGTTTATATAACCTTTACTGTAATTACTGTAATGGCATCATAATTATTATAGTGGAGTCCTGGTGTGGCACTGTAGGATAAGCACAGGACCACAAGGTCAGTTTGAACCACAAAGGTGGTGGTTCAGACTTACCAGTCACTCCTCAGAAAACCTATAGTGGGTCACTGTGAGTCAGAACTGAGTTGGTGGCACTTAACAACAACAATGTTATTACATATAGGATGTAAAATAAAATAGAAGTCCCTTGTAATTATGCCTATAATTGTTATCAATTTCAAGACTGGAGGTCATAGTAGTTCTTAACATTTGTTAAAAGCACTCTTCAACTGTGCAAATATTATGAGAAGTTCCTCAAATTCTGAGACCCCTCCCTTCAATGTGTCTTTTCAAATCCAACTGAAGTCCTATCTTCTTTATAGTCTTCCCTAATTGCTCATTTCCTTAATTGCTCCTACTAATTAGTCTTCACAAACTCATAAAACCTTCCAATAATATTTTGAAATTCTTCACCACCTCTACATGTGTAGTCTACATTATGACTGAAATGACTTATCTTGTCTTCTTTTACCCCTAGTTTTAAACTTCTTGAGAAAAATGTGTCGTTAAGAGCAGTTTCTGGAGTCAAAGTTGTTGCTATCGTTGTTGTTGTTGTTAGGTGCCACTGAGTCAGCTCCAATGCATAGGGACCCCATGCACACCAGAACAAAACACTGCCTGGTCCTGCTCCATCTTGGCAGTGGTTGTGTTTGAGCCCATTGTTCCAGTCACTATGTCAACTCATCTCCTTGGGGGTCTTCTTTTTCATTAATTCTCCACCTGACCAATAATGATGTCCTTTTTCCAGGGACTGGTCCCTTCATGTCCAAAGTACATAAAACTAAGTCTCTCATCCAAGGAGCATTTGGCTATACGTCTTCCAAGACAGATAGGTTTGTTTTTCTGGCAGTTCATGGTATTTTTCACATTTTTTTTTGCCAACACCACAGTTCAAATGCATTAATTCTTCTCCAATCTTCCTTATTTGTTGTCCCATTTTCACATGCATATAAGGTGATTGAAAATACCATGACTTTGGTTAGGTACACCTTAGTCCTCAAAGTGACATCTTCGCTCTTTAACACTTTAAAGGGGTCTTTTGCAGCAGATTTGCAGGATGCAATATGTCCTTTGATTTCTTGACTGCTGTTACTATGAGTACCGATTGTGGATCCAAGTAAAAAGAAATCCTTAACAACTTCAACTTTTTCTATGTTTACAATGATGTTGTTTACTGGTCTAATTGTGATGATTTTTTTCTTTACATTGTGTCATCTGCATATTGCAGGTTGATAATGAGCCTCCCTCCAATCCTAATGCTGTGTTCTTCTTCAAATATTCTACTTCTTGGATTATTTGCTTAGCAGATTGAATAAGTATGGTTAAAGGATGCAACCCTGAGGTATACCTTCCCTGATTTTAAACTATACAATATCCCCTTGTTCTGTTCTAACATATGATCTAATATCTTATTGTTAGTTGTCATTGAGTCCGTTCTGACTTAAGGTGACTCCATGTATAACAGAGTGCACATTGCCCAATCCTCTACCATCTTCATATTGCTTGGTATATCTGAGCCCACTGTTGCTGCTACTGTGGATTTTGAGTGTCTTCCAACTTAGAGGACTCGTCTTCCAGCATTCTATTAAATAATATTCTGTTGTGATTCACTGCGTTTCTATGGGCTAAGTTTTGGAAGTAGATCATCAAGCCTTTCTCCCTAGTCTGTCTTAGTCTGAAAGAATCAACTGAAATCAGTCCATTATGGATGACCTGCTGGTATTTTAAATACCAGTGGCAGAGTTTCCAACATCATGTTGTTGTTGTTGTTGTTAAGTGCTGTCAAGTCAGCTGTGACCCATAGCAACCCACAGGGTTTCCAAGGAGCAGTGGTGAGCTTGAACTACCAACCTTGCAATTCAAGTGACTTTGCAGTCTGGGGCATTAACCTACAGCACCACACCAGGACTCCACCAATATCATAGCAACATACAATCACCACAATACAACACACTGACCTAGTAAGTTTGGGTGGTGGATGACCTAGTACAAAGTAAGTTATCCCTCACTGCCTTAATGTTGAATCAGCTAAATGTACTTAACAATACCATATTTCTTCAATTATAGGGCGCACATTTTTGCACATTTCAATATATCTGAAATTAGAATACATGTGCTATCAATGGCATATCAAGATTCAATTGATGGCATTTTGGGGGGATATTAGAGAGTCTGGGCATGTATTATAATCTATCTATACGTTTGAGCTCTGATGTGGTACTGTTGGTACTACTGGATTGGTAAACACGAGGTGGACAGTTCAAATCCACCAGCCACTCTTGGAAACCCTAAACAGGATCACTGTGAGCAAGAACCAGCTTGACAATATACAATACCATACACACAAAAGAGCTTCAAAAAGTTCATGGCAAAGATAGAATGAAAACATAATGGAATTTTTCTGTGAACCTTTGAAACTCCCTCATATGTGTAAATCAAAAGGTCTCTGGATGGCATAAGCAGTTTGATTTAAGCACTAACCTAAAGGTTGGCAGTTTGAGCCCACCCAGCAACTCCGTAGAAGAAAGCTTGGCTAACTGCATCCATATGAATTACAGCCAAGAAAACCCTATGGAGCAGTTATATTCTGTAACACATGGGTCCCCAGAAGTCAGACTCGACTCTGACAGCAGCTGGCTATTATAATCAGTGGTGTCAAACTTGGTGACATATGGTTTTTTGTGAGAATAAATGAGTTTTTTGTTTTGTTTTGTTTTTAATATAAAGCACCTGGCAGAAAGCTAATACATGTCAGCTATTATTATGGCTCCCTGCTCTTAGCAGTCCCTAACAGAACCTTTGAAATGCCATGGAGACTTGGCCATTGGATGAATGATGATCTCATATTGGAAGTAGCTAGAACACACTGACATCGAAATAAACTCTCCCAAGTATCTTCAGCAGGACAGAGCAGGCCTCTGGTATAACTTACCTGGCTCTGTGATGGGCACTTGGAGTTGCTTCCCAATATCCGTGTCCTCCACACCTTGGGCTGCGATGGAGTAGGGCCGATTGGCTTTGTTCTTAAATATGATCAGGATAGAATCACCCACCTCTGCATGAATCATTGGGCCTAGAGGGAAAACACAGGTCTGTGTGCATTATCATTGCTCTTCTAAAACATTGTGTAATTCATATATATTTGCCAAAATAAAAGAAAAGAAAAGTTAGCTTCATCTCCAGTGCATCTCCTTCAAAGGACAATATTGTGTTATAGATTTAATGCCACGTAGTGTTTGGTCGCTATGGGTCAGAACTAACTTAACTAACTCAGCTTAACAACAACAGTGTTTGGTAACTAGGCTGCCTGGTTCAAGTTCTACCTTGGTCACTTGGGAAGTGATCTAACTTTTCTGTGTCTCAATTTCTTCATCTGTAAAATGGGTTTTAATAGTGACACCTCTGTTATATGGTTATGTTAAAGGATAAATAAGGTAATATAGGTAAAGTGGTAAATTCAGTGCATTGAAACATATTAAATGCTTAAACTTTTTACCACTGCTGAGAAAAATCTCTAGGCCAAGCCTTGTCTACTAATGTGGAGATTCCCATTGTAATCCACTCTGTGTATAGCTTTCAGTAAATCGGGAATGGTTCATTATCTTGTAAATGGGCATAATAATCATAAGGACCCACTGAAATAGTGTGTGTCACAGTGATCTAAGAGATTAGAGTGAAATGAAAATATCTCTGTGCCTGTTTAAAGTCAATACAGTGATTTCATTGACTATCAAACAGTCTTTCCCAATATTTGGATACCTTGAAGTGTCGTGCACTCCTCAGTGGTTTCTCACTAAAGTATGTTTCTGTTAGGAGAGAGCCTGTTCCCACCAGCCACAACCCCACATTGATAGATCTTCATATTCATGATGGTCTTCACTAGCTACCACCAGCAGTAAGGAGAGTAAAGACTCTCATTTTGGAAGCACATCAGACATAATCCCTAAATTTTCGTCTTAGGCATTTACTGCATTCTACATTCATTCCAGGAGTCCTGATGTGGTACTGTAAGATAAGCATTGGACTGCTAACAGGAAGGTAGGCAGTTCAAACCCACTAACTGCTCTGCTCCTCGGAAACTCTATACAGGGGCGCTAAGAGTCAGAATTAACTCAATGGCACTTAGCAACAACAACATTCTTTCCAAGGAGCCCTGATGGTGCAGTGGCTAAGCTCTTGACTACTAACTGAAAGTTCTGTGGTTCAGGAGAAAGATGTGGCAGTCTTCTGTAAAGATATACAGCTTTGTAATGTCTATGGGACAGTGCTACCTGTACAATCGCTCTATGAGTCACAATTGGTTCAACCTCAATGAGCTGATAGGGTTACATTCATTCCAGTTGCTGTCAAGTCGACTTATGGAGACCCCATGTAAGTTAGAGTAGAAATGCTCCTTAGAGATTTTAAAACACAAAAGGGCTTCAAAAATTCATGGGGCGGGGAAATTCCAATATTTTTTCATTCCATTTTCCACAAACTTTTTGAAGCCCCCTTGCTGATCACAGGCTGGTCTTCAGAGGTGTCTTTTTGACTAGTAAGGGAGTGATCAATTATTTGTGCCGTGAGCTGGAATGAAATCAACAGAAGTTAACAAAAAACACCCTCAGAATTTTTGGAAGTAAATATTTAGCATGAATCTGGAAGTTTTAGAAAAGCATTCATTTTTTAAATGATGAAGGGAGAGAAGAAAATTCTATTCATGTTTATAACAGTAAATTTGGGTAGAGCTCCAGATAGATGCATGAGTGCTCACATATTGAAATGATAACTTGTATGTTCACTGCCACTTAACCTGTGCATGCCCCACTGATTTACAATAGGTGCCTTCTGATTTACAATAGGTCACAGGGACCAGTAATGAGTGGAGCTGTCCCTGCATTGTGCCCTGTGAACAGCTTTACATCTTCTTGAACTGTTGAAGGTGGGAGGATGGGTCTCATGCCTCCTGGGCTCTGGGTTTGCCTTTGATAAAGTCATCCTGTTGGTGTTTTACTTAGCAGATCCAAACCAGGGCTTTTTCAGGGGACAATTCTCTCAGCAGGATAGGCTTCAGAGCTCTGACAACACAGCACACACAAACACAATTCCAAGAAATGAATGCTGCAATCAATCCCAGACTACCCAATAAGCAAAGTAAGCATGAGCTTACTTTTGCTTACTTATTAATCTGTAGTAAACAATTTCAATTTTTTTTCAGCACATCCAAGATTCTGCATCTGGGTATGACTGGCATCTGTCCCTTCCAAGCCCACAGCACTTTTCCTACACAATCATAGCCTGTTTTTATGGACTATCAGTAAAAGAGGTAAGCATGGGTTTACTTGTGCTTGCTTATAAATCTGTAGTAAACAATTTCACATGGGTTTCACCATAGACCATCTGTGAAGCTGTTCACTACAGACTAGTAAGCAGAAGTAAGCTCCTACTTACCTTGATTATTGGGTAATCCACCCCTGGTTCCTATTGGGACTGACTCATTTGGTGAGACAAACAAGCTCCCATGCCAATATTAATAGGTGGTAGAAATTTGGGAGAGGGTGGAGGGGCATTTAATATTTTATCAAGATAAAAGTCAGGTACCTCATTTTAATATGAAAAAGCACCGTGTAAAGCCTTGCTTCTTGTATTCTAGAAATGGGAAAGAATTTTTAAAAGTCACCTCGATTAGCCCCTTGCTTTAAGAGAATCTTCACAAAGATTTCATGCCTCCCAGTTGGAGGGAAACCTAAGAGGTTATCTGGCAGTCAGGCCAAGCTGTTCAGGGTATCAGACAGCCCAGAGGCTGTATGCAGACAAGTCCAGTGGGTTCTGAGAAGGCCATGAGTCAGGGCCTTCAGCACTGAAACCAGACCTTTGACACTAGGCGTCCCTCTTGTGTAAGGAGTTTTTCCTTCTTCATAATTACCCTTATAGAATGCTGTTAGGACAATGTGCATGGATAATTCAGGGTGTTGAAGAAGTGATACACTCTGCCAACTGTTCTGAAGTATTAAAATATTTCAGATTAAAATTTCCTGCCTCCACTGAGGCCTGCACGAGTGAGCTATTGAATTCTGGGAAAGAACCATCAGAATAACAGATACCTGTTTGACTGCATAGATGATGTCGATTCCTGTCTATGCACTATCTGGTAGTCATAGCATGACCCTTATTTAGTATGAGGAGTCCTTGGGTGGTGCAAATAGTTAAAGCATCCAGTTGCTAACCAAAAGGAAATTCAACTCCACCCAAAAGCACCTTGGGAGAAAGCCCTGGTGATCTACTTCAAAAAAACCCAGCCATTGACAACCCTGTGGAGTGCAGTTCTACTCTGACAAACAAGAAGTCATCCTAAGTCAGAATCCACTTGACACCAACTGCTATCTGGCAAGAGCTAAACACAACACACAGCACTTTTCTTGGTAATGAAGAACAGAAGAATGTTGCATTCAGATGAATGCAACCAGGCTACTTGGCTCTGCTCGAGCCTTGTCAAGCTTATGCCAAACAGGAGATATGTGTGTAGGTGTGCACACATCTGGAATCTGAGCCATACCTAGGAGTTCTAAGTGTTGCTCGCGTGGTGGCCGGGCTTTGATTTCCACAAATTCTCCATTGGTGTATTCCCTGTAAACCACCTTCTTGTACTGAGAGCCAATCCAGTTTTCAGTATGGTTCATGAATATATCTCCGTGTCTGCAAATTGGAAATATAGAAATTAAAGTTAGAAAGAAAATGGAAAAGTATTGGGTGTGCTGAGTGATTGGGGGGTGGGGTGCGGTGGGGGCGGTTACTCCGGTGCTCTTTCATTTTCCAAACCTGGCTGTGATCAGGATCTCTCTGGGAGTTGACTTTTTTGCACCTAGGGTCCGAAACCTTATTTTAAAGCCTCTAAGCAAGGGGAGGGTGTGGCAAATTCTAATGTGGGCAGCCTAGCACTGACCCAGGACCCACCCTACTCTAAAACCCCCGTGGGTGCTGACTAGAGCCAGCCTTAGCTATAGACTCTCAAGGGCCTGGTGAGAGTTTCTATCTAACCAACCTCAGGATACGCACACTCACTTGCACACAAGCAAACACAAGATTTCATGTGCATCTTTCTGTAGGCACCTTGTTACCCTTTCTACTTTGAAAGATCTCAAGAAAGGCTGTGAAGAGGACCCTAGGACCATCAAGGGAGAAGAACACAAGTGGAATGTGGGACCTTCTCCAGAGAAGAAGCGCCACCAGAGATGGAGGCAGAGATAGGGACATGGAGAGGGAGCAGCTGAGGACTCTAGATTCATGGAAAGAGAGCAACTGAGAGCTGGCGGCAGGGAGGCAGACTGGCAGAATGTGCCCTTTGGTGGTATAAATTACTATATATTTTAT